CATAGCAACCCACTCCAGTATTCTTGCCCAGAGAATCCCGTGGACAGAGGGTCCTTGTGGGTTACAGTCCTTGGAGTTGCAAATAGTTGGACACGACTGAAGTGACTTAGTACACATAACTAGGAATTAGACTGAGTCAGCGATCAGAATCTTCCAACAGAGTGAAGTCTTAGATCTGATAGCATCACTGATGAATTCTGCCAGACATTTAAAGAAGAATTAATATTAATACTTCTCAAATTTCCCCATAAGACTGAAGAGGAGGGAACACTTCCTTATCTGTGAAACCAGTATAATCCTAATATCAAAGCCAGACAAAGACAAACTACAAGAAAAGAATATCCCTTACGAACATTGGTGCAAAGATTTTCAAAATAATACTAGCAAATAGAATTCAGAAGTCTATTAAAAGGATTATACACTGTGGCCAAATTAGATTTATCCCTGGAATGCAAGAATGGGTCAACATACCAAAATTAATCAATGGTATGCTATTATCAACAAAATGAAGGAAAAAAGCTGTGTGATTACCTTAATTGATACAGAAAAAACATTTGACAAAATTCAGCACCCTTTCATGATAAGGAACAGGCAACAAAATAGAGACAAAAAGAAAACTGTATCACTGCAATGAAAACCATACATGAAAAACACACAGCAGCAAAAACTGAAAACTTTTTCTTTAAGATCACGAACAAGACAAGGATGCCCACTTTCACTTCCATTCAACATAGTAGTGGAACTTTTAGCCAGAGCAAGAAAAAGAAATAAAAAACATCCAAATTAGAAAAAAAGAAGTAAAATTATCTCTGTTTGCAGATGATAAGATCATGTGTGTAGAAAATCCTAAAGACTCTACCAAAAAAGCTGTTTAAACTAATAAAAGAATTTAGCAAAGTTCAGTTCAGTTCAGTCGCTCAGTCGAGTCCGACTCTTTGCGACCCCATGGACCGCAGCACGCCAGGCCTCCCTGTCCATCACCAACTCCTGGAGTCTACCCAAACCCATGAGTCAGTGATGCCATCCAACCATCTCATCCTTTGTTGTCCCCTTCTCCTCCTGCCCTCAATCTTTCCCAGCATCAGGGTCTTTTCCAGTGAGTTCTCCTCTTTCACTTTCATCAAGAGGCTCTTTAGTTCCTCTTCACTTTCTGCCATAAGGGTCGTGTCATCTGCATATCTGAGGTTATTGGTATTTCTCCCTGCAATCTTGATTCCAGCTTGTGTTTCATCAAGTCCAGCCTGTCGCATAATATACTCTGCATGTAAGTTAAATAAGCAGGGTGACAATATTCAGCTTTGTGCTCCTTTCCAAATTTGGAACCAGTCTATTGTTCCATGTCCAGTTCTAACTGTTGCTTCTTGACCTGCATACAGATTTCTCCACAAAAGAGTGGAGCTGGACCTTTATTAACAGTGTATAAAAAACTAACTTGGACCTAAGTGTAAGACCTAAAACCAAAACTCTTAGAAAAAAAGCACAGGGCAAAACCCTTCACAACATTGGTTTTGGTAATGATTTCTTAGATATGACTCCAAAGGCACAGTTGACAAGAGAAAAAGTAGACAAATTGGACTTCATGAAAATTAAAAAAAAGTTTTTTTTATCAAAAGACACCATTCACAGAGTGTTCGTTGCTCTCTTGTGTCCAACTCTTTGTGACCCTATGGACTGTAGTCCGCCAGGCTCCTCTGTCTGTGGGATTTTCCAGGCCAGAATACTGGAGTGGGTTGCCATTTCCTTCTTGAGGAGATCTTCCCGACCCAGGGATTGAACCTGGGTCTCCTGCATTTCAAGCAGATTCTTTACCACCTGAGCCACCAGGGAAGCCGTATCACCAGAGTAAAAAGAGACAACTCATATAATGGGAGGAAATATTTGCAAATCATATATCTGATAAGGGATTAATATCTGAATATATAGAGAACTTCTAAAATTCAACAACAGTAAAAACCTGTTTCAAAAATGGGCAAAAGACTTGAATAGACGTTTCTCCAGAAAAGAGATATGCAAATGTCCAATAAGCACATGGAAAGATGTTCAACACCACTGATAATTAGCGAAATGCCAGTTAAAACTCCAATGAGATACTACCTCACATTCATTAGCAAAGCTATTATCAAAATAGCATGAAGTAACAAGTGTTGGCGAGGATATGAAGAAATTGGGTGGAAATGTAAAATGGTCCAGACACCATGGAAATGAAATGTTGGTTTCTGAAAAAATTTAAAATTAAAATTACTATATGATCTGGCAGCTTCACTTATGGGTATATTCCCTGGAAGATTGAAAGCTTGGTCTTGAAAAGATATTTGTACACCCATGTTCATAGCAACATTTTTCACAATAGCTAATGTGGAAGCAACCCAAGTACCCACTGACTGTTGAATGGATAAGCAATGTGGTACATACATACAATGAGATATCATCCAGCCTTAAAAAGGCAGAAAATTCTATAATATGCTATAACATGGATGAACCTGGAGGACATTATGCCCAGTGAAATGCCAGGTGTAAAAAAACAAGTATTGTGTGATTCCATTTATTTGAGGTATTTTAAGAGTAGTCCAAGTCATAAAGACAGGAATTGTAATAGTAGTTGCCTGGGGCTGAGCGGAGGGAAGAATGGAGGGTTATTGTTTAATAGGTACTAACTCTCAGTTTCACTAGATGACAAGAGTTACGAGTCTGGTGATGGGTACAGATGACTGTACAACACTGTGAATGGATTCAGTACTGCTGAGCTGTATACTTGAAAGTGGTTAAGATGGTCAAATTTGTTATGTGTATTTTACCACAAGAAAAAAGGAATGGTGTTGCTTTAAACATTGAATAAAACTTACTTGAATTTCAGATTATTTTTTCTTTTCACTTTCCGAGTATTTAAAAATGGCTTTAATGGTGTTTGTTAAAAATGATGTGACATAGATGTTGACTGTCTGAATTAGCATACAGTGTTCTTTATTTGTCTTTTTGTATATCACAGTTTTACTGTTTTAAGGCTGATAGCACATTAAGGCTTTTGATAGCACATTTTAGTCAATACAGTGTAATTTTTAAAATTGTTTTCATCAAAAGTAAAACTGATTGGGAAATACAATATAATCACTTTTCTCCTGCCACTTTTTATAGAAAAAATATGTTCAGAAGTGTGAAAAAATTGAACAGGTTTATAATAATATTTACTAAGTCACCTTATGTAGGATTTAGAAAATAAATTTTAGTATAAACTTAATATACTTTAATACATTTCAGAAATAAAAGTCTTGCTCTTCCTCCACCATCAGACACCCCATTTATCTCTTAGGGTGGCTACTTTTAATGTTTCTTAAATAGTTTTCCAGAAATGATCTATGAATAGATAAGTATATGTATATGAGTATATGATGGCATTGCACACACACATACAGAAAATCTATATACCCCATCTTTTTTTTTTGAAGAGTCATTTTCTATAAGGTATTTTGAATGGCTTAAATATGTTCTTCAGTAAGTTCAAGGAAAAGCAGATAAATTGATGTGTACATTAAAACTGTAACTGTCTTCAACAGAAAACAACAAGATTCTGTAAAGCAATTATCCTTCAATTAAAAAGTAAATAAGTTAAAAAAATACATTACTCATAGATTCATAAATGTTCACTTCAAGTGGATTGACGAGGCAAATGTAAACAAATGTATTAAAAAGAAATCATAGAGTAATATCTCTGATTTCAAACTTGTGAAATCCTTTTTAAGCATAAGTACAATAAAAGAAGTTTGTAAAGGAGAAAGTTAGTTTTTGGCCAAAAAAATATCAATAAATAAAACCTATAGTGTAGGTTTAATATCCTTAAAAAAAGATTTCCAAGAGGGAATGACTGATTTTTTTTTTTTTTTTGAATGACTGATTTTAAATGTAAATGCTTGCTAATAGTGGGTGGAATCAAACAACATAAAAACAGTAACTTTTTTCTGGAGTCAACACTTTAATCTTATATTTTAAAATGCAGAACCATTTTTGTAGTAAGATATAATGCAAATAAAATTGGAATTTCATATAAAAATGTAACTGTCTTTATTTGAGGTCTTCTAATTATTCTGGTGGTATAGATGAACAGTAAACTTTGTTTATTATAGTTCGCCAACAGATTAGATTTTAAAATCCTTTTATGAAAATGTAAGACGCTTACTCCTTGGAAGGAAAGTTATAACCAACCTAGATAGCATGTTAAAAAGCCGAGACATTACTTTGCCAACAAAGGTCCGTCTGGTCAAGGCTATGGTTTTTCCAGTGGTCATGTATGGATGTGAGAGTTGGACTGTGAAGAAAGCTGAGTGCCGAAAAATTGATGCTTTTGAACTGTGGTTTTGGAGAAGACTCTTCAGAGTCCCTTGGACTGCAAGGAGATCCAACCGGTCCATCCTAAAGGATATCAGTCCTGGGTGTTCATTGGACGGACTGATGCTGAAGCTGAAACTCCAATACTTTGGCCACCTCATGCGAAGAGTTGACTCATTGGAAAAGACCCTGATGCTGGGAGGGATTGGGGGCAGGAGGAGAAGGGGACGACAGAGGATGAGATGGCTGGATGGCATCACCGACTTGATGGGCATGAGTTTGAGTATACTCCGGGAGTTGGTGATGGACATGGAGGCCTGGCATGCTGTGATTCATGGGGCCGCAAAGAGTCGGACACGACTGAGCAACTGAACTGAACTGAATTGAACTGAAAAAATTTTAATTTGTGTGAAAGATTTTTGCCCTCAACATATGTTCTTAATATCCATCATACTTTTGGGAGTGGGATTATTGTGAATGTTGTATAGTGGAAAGGGCAAAGGAGGAGGATGTTTTACCATATTGTTTTGATTTTTTTTTTTTAAAGCTATGAGCATATTCTACTTTTATTAAAATGATAATGGTAAATATTTTTAAGAAATGTAATGACATAAAGGTAATTTTAAAATAATGTCCTCATTACTAAGCTTATGTTGTGCTTTTATTAATTTTGGTTTTAGGCCTGTGTGGACGTCAGAGCCAGTTCAGTGTTTTGGCAGCAGATGGAATTTGCAGAAAGCCTCCATGGTCATCCCAAGTTGCCAGAATGGTTATCTACACACCCTTCTCATGGCAATCGAGCTGAGCACTTGGATAGGCTCATACCTCAGGTGAGCTAACACTACATAAGGCAAGACTTTATTGTTACTGTATCATTTATTTTTAATACTGTTACTTGTTGTGCCTAGAAAAAGAGCACTAGCCTGTCAACCATTTTTATTACCATCAGTTTTCAAAGGGTTTCACTGAAAAGGAAAAAATCCTGCTAGTCCACAAGTCCTGGTGAATAAATTGGTATGTATAGTTGACTTTTCATGATAGTCAAGGTTTAGCATATTTAGTATCATACTTTTTAATTTTAACTGATTTGGTGAAAGTCTAAAAGTCAAGGTATGTTTTTCATCATATGGATCATAATCTTAGTGATTTAAGCTTATCATTAAAAATACCAGTTAATGAATTGTGTGAAATTTTTGGTTGAGTATTAATTCCAGTAGTGATGCTGGAATTTGGTTTTTTTTTAGGAAAAAAACTCCTTCAGATTAGTTTGCTTTCTGGTTATTTCTCTTAAAAGATAGAATAAAGTATGTGCTATGTGCTCTTTTTTTTCTTTGAAGAACTCATTAATGGATCAAGCTGAAACAGCTTTCTCCCAAGTAGTATTCACTCTCTTCTAAAAATCTTTGATTTAACATATTCAGAATGTTTTCTGTGCTTTCCACATAGGTACAAAATGAATGTCAGTCATCTCTAAGGCAGGCTATGTGCTCTCTTCTGTCTCACTTGCTTAAAAGCAGAATATTCATTACCAATTTAAGAATTAGTCTTGGGTTAATTGCTAAAGGGATAACCAACAGATTCAGATATATTATAGAAGTCTCTTTAAATATGACTTCAAATTCAGAAGAACAAAACATTGAGTACCCATTATAAGAAAGATGCAAAAGAAATAATACATCATCTTGATATTTTAAGATGCTAAAATAAGTAAAAAATGATTCTTAATATAATAAGGAATATTATTTATCATAAGAAAAGTTGAATACAATGGTATACATTGTGAAAGAAGAATAACCTTATTACTTGGTGTAATAATAATAACCTTATTTTGGGGGTAAGCTTCTTATTTGGGGTAAGAAACTACAAGAAGATTCATTCATTTATTCATGTGATCAACATTTATTAATATTCATTGCTAATGTACCGTTCTGTGTTGTATTGTGCCAGGGAGTGAGCAAGGAACAAAACAGCCTCTTGTTTTCTTAGAGCTAACATTCTAGTTAAGGAATGCAAATAATAAGCAAGCAAACAAACATACATATAGTATGTCAAGCAGTTAGAAGCACATTGCAGAAAAACAAAGCGGATGAAAGGTGGGAGAGAGGCCTGGGCAACAGAAGGTATACTAGTCAATGTTCATTTGCCAAAGAAGACCTTAATACACAAAATCTGGAAAGAAGCAGGGCAGCAAGTCCTGTGGATATCTGGAGGAAGAGTCTTCTAGGCTGAGTAAGCAGCAAATACCCAGGACCAGAAGTGAGATTGTGCTTGTTTGGTATATTCAAGGAATAGCAAGATGCTGGGGCTGAATGGAGTCAGGGAGGGGAGAATGGTTGAGGTGTGAGGGGTCTTCTAAACCACTGTAAGGTCTTGATTCTTATTTCAAGTGATATGGGAAGCTAAGCAAGGCTTTGAGCAGAGGAGGCTTGATCTGGCTCAAGTGTTTTATAGTGATCACTGGGTCTCTTTTGTGGACTATAGGGGAGCAAGGGTGGAATCAGGAAGCCTATTTAAGAGGCTCTTGCAGTAATCCTGGTAAGATTATGGAGGCAGAAGAGTGGGAGAGAAATGGTCAGATTTTAGATGTATTTTGAAAAGAATGGTGACTGGATTTGTTGATTTTTTGAGCTTACTTTATGCCTTTTAGGCACTGGGTCAGCCAGACATAGGTTATTGAGACCTATCCTAAATACATTTCATTTATACTCTTAACTTTAAGGAAAAATACGTGAGAAAGAAAGAGCAGTGAAGTTTACTTGATATAATATGTAGTAGTTATTCACCTTAAAAAACAGCATGGGACAGTTTCATAAGTAACTGATCTGTATTGAAGAGCACTGACTCTGAGTCTTAGTGGCACCCCAGACCCAGGAACCTCATTCTACCCTGGGAGTGACTTAATCTATCTCTAAATCCATAATAACCATATGGTTTTCTCTTAGAATTTCCTTTGCTTTTTATTTTTGCTTAATGAAATTCTAAAAATACATGGTTTGCTTAAACTGGATAATGAGTTCTACCTAACTTTTATCTGAAGCCTGTCCTAAATTCCAGGTTTTTGTTTCATCATCAGATAACTAAGGATCTTTAAAGGAGTAGTAAATGTTCTTTAGAGAAGTCTTTAAAATAATAATGAATTAAGTAGTGAGTATGACAAAAAAATGGTTGGAGAAACAGATATGTTATTTGGAAGCCAGTGATGAAGAAAAAAATTAAGAGATATTTTTCTTCTAAAAATAAACTATTCTAGTTCGGAAGTTTAATTTAAAAACCTCATATAATTTCTTGTATTTTTTCCCCCCAAGTGATTAAATTCAATTTGAAGGTAATAAAACTCTACTACAATATTGGGAGTAATTCAGTGGCTGAAGTGAAACTGATAGTACAACAGTATATTGTTAATTAGAATACATAACCATAATTCAGAGATTGGAATTCCCTACTATCATAGGTCTAATTTCTGTAATGAAAGAAAACGATTCCTCAGGCAATATATGGAATTATGTGAGTCTGTGTCTTCTTAGAGACTACCTTTTTTGGGTTAGATTTTCTTTAAGGTTTCTTTCCTACTAAAGTGAGGACAGTGTTGGGTTCCACCTAAAGCTCCAGTCCTTTGACATTTCAGACAGTGATGTACATCTAAAGGGTGGTTGGGAATATTGCACCAGTGTGCAGAGGTGTCTCCGTCAGAGTTGAGGATTTCAAAATCACCAGGAAATGGTGGTAGTTGAAGTGGTGAGAGTGAGTGAGTTCACTTAGGAAGTAAGCAAAGGAAATGCTCTTGGACACTTGGCAGTATTAGGTAGAGTCCATGTTTAATTGGTAGGAGGAGGAGCCTGTAGTAGATTAGGTTCGTAGGAAGAGAAAAGACCAAGAAAGTCCGGAAAATGAGGTTCTTTGGTCCTCTGAGAATACAAATCTTGGTAACTTTGATGTTTTAAAATTTAAGTTATTAAAGATTGTATATTTTAAAAAATTGTTTTCCTGTAGATCATTACAGAAGTGTATTGTCTTACATATTAACGTTTAAGGTGTTTTAAATCCATATTTGATGTCTTTTTCAACAAGTATTTATTGATTACCTCTTACGTGCTAGATTGTGGGTATTGTAGATGTTGTGAACAAAATAGACAAAACCCCCTGCCCTCAGGAAGTTTATTTGGCAGTAAAGGGTGAGAGACAGTGAATAGAATAAATCAGTAATATACAGAATAAATCACCAATATATTGCATGTTAGTCAGTACTAAGTGTAAGGGAGGGAAATAAAGGAGGAGGAATTGTGTATTATCTTGGGCTGCCATAACAAAATCCATAGACTTGGTAGCTTAAGCAACAGAAATTAATTTCTTCACAGATTTGAAGGCTAAAAGTACAAGATCAGGGTTCTGCCTTAAGCAGCAGAAATACACTTTTCAGGAAGTTCAGTGATAAGGTTCTGGCCGGTTCAGTTTCTGGTGAGGCCTCTCTTCGAGTCTTGTATATAGCCATCTTCTCGCTGTGTGCCGCGTGGTACAGAAAGAGTGATTGCTTTTTGTGTCTCTTCCTCTGCTTAGAAGGCACTGCTCCATCGCAGGGTCATACCCCCATGACCTCACCCAAACATTGCCTCCCAGAGGCCCCACCTCTGAGCACCGTCACACTGGGAATTAGAGCTTCAGCATGGGCCTTCCAGGATGGCAGCTCATTTCCCAGCAGAGGGGTAATGTGTGAGCAGAGGTGGTCATGGCTGCTGGAGTAGCCGTTGGAAATCGGGTTGGGTCAGAGAAGGTGTCCCTGGGAAGGAAGGTATGGGAAGGAAGACTTGAAATAAGGGCAAGAGTGAGCCACGCAGCTTCCCGGGGGAGGAGCCGTCCAGGCGGAGGGAATAGTAAGTACCTGAGCCAGCTGTATCTGAGGACCAGCAAAGAAACCAATGTAGCCGCTTGGGGTTAAGCAGCGGGAGGTGGAGGGAGCAGGTTTATAGGCCCCCACACAAAAAAGGGCTGGATTTTACTCAGAGACAGAGCAGCAGTGGGGGCTTCCCTGGCGGCTCAGTGATACAGCATCTGCCTGCAGCGCAGGAGTTGTAGGGGACTCGGGGTCCTCCCCTGGGTCAGAAAGATCCCCTGGAGCAGGGCATGGCGGCGCCCTCCAGTATTCTTGCCCGGAGAATCCCATGGACTGAGGAGCCTGGGGGGCTACAGTCCGTGGGGTCACACAGAGCCGGACCTGACTGCAGAGTGCCTCGGTGGAGTGGTTTGAGCTGAGGCCAGAGGAGCAACAGGATCTGTGTTGTATTTGAAGAGTGTGATCTACAGCTCCTACAAAACAGTGCAATCATGTAATTTTGGAGTGCTTTAGTTTAGTATATTGTTCAGAAAATAAGCCAGATCCTTTTTTTGTTTTGTTTCTAAATCAGGCCTCCAAACTGGAAAAAAGTATCCTTGCTTTTTTAAAAAATGTGAATTCTGAGATAATGCATGTGTAAATGCCTAGTTAAATATAGTCCTGTGATCCACTAGTATTTAAAAAGGATAAAGAAAGGGTTATAGTAATGGTATTATTTGTAGTTAATGATACGGTATGTTATAATTTTATTTACTTGAAATAATCAGTTAAATTTAGGAAACACATATTCCACATATTCCGTTACCATAACAACTTGGGTGAAAAATTGAAGAACAGATGTTGTATCAACCTGTTGATGTTTAATAGTATGACAATTTTTAAATTATATTCAAATTTTAAATTTATATATACCATACATAGTCCTTGAAAAAGATACCTTATTTAATTTTTTCCTGTTAAATATCATTATACTATATGAATAGATGTTAATAAGAAAAATTG